GTGTAACCTACGTGGAACTCACACACCAGCATTCCCCCAAATTCCCAAAGTTTCTTTCCCAACCATTTTACACTTCAGAACAGCACTGTAAACACATGCTAACAACGTACGTGTACCCACACGTGCAACCCCCCTCCTCCTCCAAACGACGGTCAAAGTAACTTTTGTCTTTGCTGGATCTAGTCAAATCTCAAAAACCCCTGATTAAGTGCCCTTAATCATTTCATCATTACCTTTAATCATTGTTTATTTTATAAAATAATAACTCATTAAAATCAAACCCGGATTCTCTCTTGACTTGCGACTTTCCTCCTGCTTTCTTATTTTTCGGTGCATGGTTTGCTGGTCTTTGGTCGGTCTTACGAGCCAACCGGACAACGAAATCTCGGCCGTCAATTCGATAATTAAAATTGTTCGATAATCAAAAGATCAAAGTCATTAATCCCCGTTGATTAAGGGGTACCCACACGTGCAACCGTGCATGTGCAGGAAAAAAAATCCACGGTTGGTGCCAGATGGGAATAGGAATAAAATTTATCATTGGGCTCAGGCCAGCTGCTTTTTTTTTTTTTAATAAAAAAAATATGAATTTATTTTTATGTCTTAATCTCTTTTAAAGCTTTGATACTCGTGTGAATGTCAGCCCACATGTGATTAGTGATTAGCTTACCTGGTACTCATGTGATTAAGATTTTTAACCGTCTGATTAAGAGTATCGTTTTTGTACGAACAAATCTTGTTTCTTTTGATTTTCAGTTAAGACTACCAACTCCTAAGTTATTCGTAGGTCCAGCTTTTGTTAACTGCCTTAATGTTAGGTACTCTTAAGTGGAAGTTTTAAGTTAATATTCCGAATGATCTTTGTGTGGGCCGTTGGCGTATCCTAAGAAAATATTCATTGATCATTTCGCGAAGGATTTCACATAAAAATCAAGAGATATTATGAGTTATTCTATCACTTTATATATCATGCAAGATTAGTTTTTGAGGTTAAAATTCGTAATGAGGATTTAAAATTCACCGTTTTCCTGTATGAAAGATTAGTTCATTTTTGTGCGTACTAACACAAGAAGTTTGCATTAGGAATCCGCGAGAGTTGACTTCGAATGGGAAAAAAAAAAAAAAAAGCAAAAGCCTCCTTCTGCTTTTATCCCTTCTTTATGTACTTTTGAGAAGGCTCAAATTGAAATGATAATTGTACTTTATTCCGTGTATGTATATTGTACGTAACATAATAACTATTTATTTAACGATAATTTTCACCATTGAGTTACTTTTTTACTTCATTTAATTAATATTTTCGAATCATTTTGAAACGAATAGAGTATAAATATGAACAGTCACGACCCATAACCAAACCATCCGATAACAGTAGCAAATTATTGTTGAGAGGCATAATACACTTTTGGAAGGGGTAATGAAGTAACTTTGAGGCAGACAAACGAATGTGGCTTTGTAAGATTGCTAATTGAGTACACGGTGGCTTTCGTTGTGTACATGCTAGCTTAGGAATAATAATAAAGTACTTCGTGATACCTTAAATTAATTATTTGCTTGTGCTTTTAATCAGTACAATTATTTGGGAAAGATTGTAAGGATGTAATGCTAAGCAAACTAATCATTTTGTTGCTTCAAATGATGAAGATCTATCTTAAATCTTTTTCTATTAGGATGAGAAATTGTAAAATATAGTTTGAGGTGTTTGTTTATTAGTGTTGATCTCCTCTTTTTGTAGACAGGATTTTAATCATACTCATTATTGACTTGTGTGGTGGGCCTTGTGATCGTCTCTTGGAGTTTCAATTGGATCCATATTTTTTCTGAATACTGTTCTACTATAACGTAGTTCTCTATATTTCCACTATTTTAGCCCAAAGTTCAAAAGAAAAATAAAGATTGAAGCGAACTGATTCGATGAATGATGTAACTTGTATTAAGAAAACGTAATGATTTGTACTAGAGAAAAACAAATCATATATATATATATATATATATCTATAGTACTTAATTAAAGCAGCAAACAAAAAGCACATGTGACAGCACCACAATGAAAATTTTCCCGCTAAAAGCTATTTTCAGTACAAAATCATTTTTGACACGTGGCAAATACATAAATCCCTTAATTATAGGTATATACTAATCCCTTAAAACAACAATGTTTAGTTGATAAAATCAAATGTAAGGAAATTTCCTTAAATCAAGTGAAACACCAGTAATGTCTTCCCAATCTCCAATTTCAAAGAATCTCTTCCATTCCGCTCCTCTCTCACACCCGAGCCTTTAAATCAATTACTTAAAATCTGACATCAATTATCAATCCATCTCTTTCTACAACAGAGAAAAAATAAGCTGTCATGAAAGAAATTTGATTTTTTAAGGATGATTTTTTTTTATTCTTCTGTTGTAGATATTGGTTTATGATTTATGTAAACCCGGGCATAAGTTAACTGGTATAAATTAAATATTGTAAATCTGGGCATAAATTTATGTGTAATAGCTCACTTTCTGTTTTTTCAATTGATTTTTTATTCTTTTAATTTTTTTTTATTCTTTTAAGAATGATTAGTATTTTTTATTTAATCAATTTAAAAAAACAAGCGACACCCCGGGCATTCGCCCGGGGCAAACATCTAGTTCAATTTTATAATTTTCATTTGGAACTAATGCATTTAAAGATAGGAGGATAGTTAAGACTACTTCCACACCATTCCTTATACACTTTCCTAATACTTTTTTTGGTTTATTTATCACAACTATCAAAAAAAAATTCATGCAGAATTTGGATCCTCTTTTTAGGAGGTTTTATTGTTTTATTTTAGTATTTTTTTGGTGTTTTCTCAACACATTCGATAGAAAAAGCTTGGATTAAAAAAGGACCAGAGAAGAAATCAAGATAGAGGGAACAAGATGGAGTCAAAGGTTATAAAAATGAAGGAAAATCTCCATATCTAGAACTTCTACGTTTGTTTGGTAATTTTACAGTTACATTCAGTTTAATTCGGATTAGATCGGTACTGGAACTTTATCTTATTATTGGTTCTTTATGTATTTTCTTTGTTTGGTAGATCTGTTTGGATTTCTGTCTTTAGTTATCAGAAATGTTTTTTAAATCTGACAAATTTAGCCTTCTAAACTCATGTTCACACATGGTGATAAGTTTGTTCCTCTGTGGATTGAAAAATCGCGTATGGTTCGATTGCAATAGCTCAATCATTAAATTGCGTACCTTAATCTTGTATTGTACTGCTTAAATGTATGGTTGATTTTTTTTAATTTAAAAATGATTATCACTTTTGAAAAAAAAAAAAAAAGTATACGGGAAAAAAGTCGACTCCGATACTCTATATGTGATTGCAATTGAGATATTAGCTATGAGCTCCTTCTAGTACAATTAATCATTCCCTCATGCATGCTACCTATATGAAAGATTTGATGAATATTACCAACCCTATGATACTTTTGGCACTAGCAATAGTTGCTCATATTACTACACTAGTGTGTTATTGTTCTAGCATAAATATTTCCGCTATAAATGAATTAAAAAAGAATAATCAAATTAAAAAAAAGAACTTTATACAACACTTTAGGTATCTATTGATTAATTTATTTTACTACTATCTACAATAATGGTCAATCTAAAAATGAAGTTCATTGTCCCCACACTGTTATCAGACTACTAGTTCCTGCCTATGGGCCTAATAACCATCAGGCCATTAAATTTTCTTTCGTACTGGTTCACGTAATGGGCTCAATTCTTGTTAGCTGAACTCTTTGGGCTGAAAGAGGTTTTAATGAAAAGAACTATCCCAAAAAATTAAAGAAAGCATCCATAGAACGTACCACTTCCCAACTCTTACCGAACGTAGATACATACTAGATACCTTGTTACATATAAGAAGTACTTGAATGGAAAGTTAAGCCCATTGCAATATTTGTGTCTGGACCTTTGTTTGTTTGTCAACTCATTTTACCTCTTAAATACAAAACCCAGTAGAAAAGAAAATATCATCCAAACAAATTTCTGATTTACATTTTAAATTCCAACTTGAAACACTTTTTGTTAGTGTAATGACCATTTTAGAACTACAAATAGTTCAATGACAAATTTGGCAGGTTTCCGTCATTGAGTGATTGTTTTTGAAAAAGTTCTTTTTTGCAGTGACTATAATTGACAGTATTTAATTATTTAGTGATGACTTGTACTTGATATTTCAAAATGTAGTTCAAAATACTTTTTTTCAAAACCAACATCCAAACAACATTTTTATTTCCCATTTAGTTTTCAATTTGAAACACTTTCAAATTTTAAGTGTCAAAATAAAATGTAAGTTGACTTCCAAACAAGTAATAATTTTTAAGTAAATTTAGAAGGACCAGATATATAATCTCTTTTTTCTCAAGTCGATTAATTCAGCTTAAAGCTGTGTCATTGTATTAGAATTTTGAATGATTGATATTATTGTATTGTATTGGCCCTTGGGTTTCATGGACTTTGAATGAAATTATTGGAATTTTTTCTCTTTCCAGTTTAGTACTCTAATTTTCTCTCCTCAATTTTAACCCTAATCCTCTTCTTTTTCTTTTTTTTTTTCCTCTTTTTTTTTTTTTTCTGAACTTCTATACTCCAATTGTGTTGAAAATATATCCTATGATCCTATTCATTGTAATTTTGTGCAGCATAGTTTCATGATATCTTGGTACTAATATTAGGATTAGAAACCAAAATTGGTTGTGGTAGAGTGGAAGAGACTCCTCTACCTTTAACCATAGGTTGAGGGTTCGAAGCTCGCCATGAGAATGAAGCAATCTTAAATACTTTGTCTAGCTGTTCCATCTATTGAGGTGCCTACAATTCATCGAGGGGGATTAGTCACGGTTGCCGACGATGGATACTCTGCAAATATTTAAAAAAAATAAAAAAAACTATTAGGATTAGAAGATTGGTACTCCATTATAAATAGCCCATTTTGAAGACCCAATTACTATTTCATGACCTGACCAGAGAGGCCCAGCATCTGACCGCCGGGTCATGTTCGGAAACGGGTTTGTTTAATCAAATCGACCAATCCGGTTGTTAAACCCATCCTCCAAATTCCAAAACCCTCATCACATTTCACACAGTCACGCACTGAATCTCCGCCAATTAGGCTGTTCTTGAGCTCGCTTCAGCTATCATTAACCGCAGTTTTGAAACCCTGATTTTAATTTCAATTTCATTCCCTCTCGAATCCCGCTCTGAACACAAGTTGAGCTTTATACTGAGTTGTGGAGAAGAAATTCCGTGACGCCTCCTCCTGTTGCGGCTGCTCCGCCGTTTTCTCCGGACTCCCAGTTCCGTCACTTCAACCTAGTCACCTTTGCAAAAAGTTACAGGTATTAAGTTAACCTGAATTGAGATATGCGTAGATAGCTAACGCAGTGTTTGTGGACTGCTATTGGTTTGCTTGGCCCCTTTTTGGCTGTAATTTTAGTAGGATTTTGTGTTGAACGTTTAAGAAACCGTGGTTTTCAGATTCTTTCTCATAGTAAATTTCGGCTCTCATGAAGAGTTTTTTTTGTTAGAGAATAATCTTAGATTAAGTATTTTCTTTCATTTTGTTTAAGCAATGTCGATCCTGTTTTGGTAATGAAAATGAGTTTGGTTTTGAGTGAATCGCTCGTGACGAATGACTCTTAAATTTCTCGGCTGCACATTGAACTTATTAATGTAGCTGTGTTTTTGAAGAATATCTTTTTGTTATATTTGAATGGATGGATGTTATGTGGGACGGTTTTGTACATAAAAGTTGAGATTGTTTGACTTAAAAATGTACGAATGATTTGAATTTGTTCATATTGTGATGAGTGTATCGGGTTTGATCCTCAGTTCTACCTGTTCCATAATTTCAATCATAAGCTCCGGTGTCAAGTCAAGTTTTACAACATTGTGATAAGTAACACCTACTTAACTAATCAACCGCATGATGTAACACGGGGGTTAAGAAATGAATATTTCTTATGGTTGATCAAGTTTACGATTCACTTAAAATAAGACGGTGGAGTAATCTAATGTTCCTAATCTTAATAACTATTACAGAATCTTATGTCAATTGACATTACTATATCTGTTGAGTTTTTTTTGTCGAAGTTTTGAGATTTTTTGTCCTTTTCACTTCAATTTTTGAATATTGTGCAAAGATTTCGACATTCTTTTGTTTTTCTCCAGCGAAGAATTATGGCTAAACTAAAGGATAGAAAGAAAAATAAGAAAATGGCAACAGATAAGATGGACGGGACTCATGAAGGTGATCAGCAGCCTGCTGTCAAGGGTAGGTTATGTCAGTGTGTACATCATGTTGTATCCATACTGAGCTATTAGTTTTGGTGTATAAGGTACAATTCTTTGTTGACAGAGAAATCACAGGGAGAGGAAGAAAACCGTGAAAGGAAGAAGTTGAAAACTAAGAAAAGAAACAAGGACCAAAAAACTGATGCAGTAGGTGTTGGAAGTGAAACAAACCAGGATAATGACGAAGATGGCTTTGTTGAACAGAATGGAAGCTTTGACGAAGTGCGAAAAAGTAAGAAAACAAAACCAAAGCAAAAGAAGGACACAAAATCTCCATCAAATAAAGTTCATCCTAAGGCTGAGAGTTACTCCAAGGAAGGAAATGGTTTTACCGGAGGTGGTTTCTTCTTTCTGCTCCTGTCCTCGTTCTTGGTGGGCTGTAATTTTCAAAAACACACTTCATCACTATGCAGTGAATTTTCTGCTCCTGTCCTCGTTCAGGAGTTACTTTCACTATAATACTGTTACTTCTCACAAATAAAAATCTTTAATCCTTGTGTCTTTTAGCCAAATAGTTTACCTTTGTCTAGGATTGTGCTTTTAAGATGCATATATTCTGCTGCTGCTGTTTCGGGCTTTCAAATTTATCATTACTCATTAGCTCGTTGGTGGGGTGTCAGACTTATCACTCATCCCTCTTACTTGAAAGCTTACTTAATCTGTTTTATTTTTGTTCTTTCGTCTGCTTTTCTAGACTTGGCTAGAGGAAATGAGGTATATCAGATTTCTTCTGGAGATGAAGACTGCTCAAAAGGAATGAAAAGTAAGGATTATTTTAGTCAGATGTGCCTCATTAGGCTTTACATTCCCACCTCCCTGTTTCCTCCCCTTTCTTACAAGAAAGTTGCTAGGGACAGTTCTCTACTGTCACTCTGCTGACTGAGATTTTGGTGTTAAATGAGCAGAATGGATTATGGACTACCAATACAAGCGACCAGGGTTGAAAGTACTGCAAGAAAGAATTGATGACTTCATAACTCGATATGAGGCAAAGGAGGAGCAGGTGCATTCACATTTTACATGTGCTATATTTTTGCTTAGAAATATTGAAAGATCTCTAGATATTATTGATTAACTGTGGGCGAACTGGATTTTTGAGAACCAAAACTATGTAAAGCCCATGTACTGTACCCCTACATTTGGAGTTTGATTGAATTAAAATTTATTGCGTGACTGTATCTTGATCAAGCCATTTAGTTTAACAATCAGTCATATTTCCTAACTTCTATGTGATTAGGACCTTTCTTCTCCTTATGCATTTGTCCCTTGCTCCCGTTTTCACTTCTTTTTATTGTTATGCTCCACAGGAAAGAAGAGAACGTGAAGCCCGTGCTGCCGAGGATGGGTGGACTGTTGTTACTCATCAAAAGGGACGCAAGAAAACGACAGATACTGAAACTGGAGTTGTCGTTGGTTCTGTTACTCAGGCTGCAGTTCTCGATAAGATGTCCAAAAAGAAGAGTAAAGATGTGGGTGTAGATTTTTATCGGTTTCAGAGAAGAGAAGCACAAAAAAACGGTATATTGATCTTTACACAATCTGTTTTTAGTTTCTCGCCCTTATATTTGACATATTATTGTCTTGAAAAGTTTAATGTTATGGATGACTACATAATATAGAATTCTTGGTGCTAGTTCTTTGTTTTATTGTTATGTTTCTGTTCAATATTGTTTGCTAGATCAATGTTTAATGGCATACTACTCCATACAGATGAAGAACACTCTTCAATCTCTAAACTTTGGAAGTGAACATGAAAGTGCTTGTAAAACTTTTATGAAAATGTTGCAAGTTGGAATAAGTGGTGCATGTCATTCTCTTCCGACTTCAGGCTATGGTCTTCAGATACAATTTCTTTTTGAACCCATTTGGCATTGGACACATTTCTTCATGCCTTTTAAATATAGTACCTTTATGACTTGCAGAGATTATGAGGCTGCAGAGCGAGTTTGAACAAGATAAAAAACGAATTCAGCAATTAAGAGCAGCAAGAAAATTTAGACCCTACTGATTATTTGCGAATGAAAAATGCTGCAAATATTGGCAGGAGGAGCTCCAGTGCTCGGAAGGCTCCTTTTCTTGCTGTTGCATTACATGCTTTTGGAGCCGTTGCTGCAATATTTGGAGTAGCTGGGGGTGTTTCTCCTAAATTGCCTCTGCTGAGGTTTTTGTTCTTATGCTTTCTCCAGTAGTGGTAATTTTTTTCGGCCCTTTTTGGGCCCGGGAATGATAAATTAACTGCTCTTAGCGAGCATATTGATAATTAAAGTAATTCATTTCAATAGAATTAGCTGCTGTTAATTAGTAAGCAGGGATTCTTTTCATTGTAATGAACGAAAGGATTAGGAAATTTAATTTCAAAGAAGCTAATACATTATCTGCTTTATTAAGTTTAAAATAACATAATGACTGAGTTGAACTTTAGCTGAAAATTGCTACTTATTCGTCTGTAAGTTCTTGCTCAATTTTTATTGAATTTGATAAATCATTAAGAATATTTGAAAGCAAAAAAAAAAAAAAGGATATTTGGAAATTCGAAATGGGCACATGAAAATTGACTAAGAATTTAAAAAAAGAAACCAGACAATTAAACAATAAGACAAACTCTAACAAACCAAACCGAGACTCGTAAGCCGTATGTATTCAGTCAATGAGGTATTCTCAAAACTGTCGCATTGGTTATGAATCTTTCCTACATAAATTTATTTCATTCGGGCAAATGTTGTACACCAAAAGTTTTGATAAAAAATCATTTATTGAGGAAAAACGAAACTTATAAAATATAATATTAGATAAATTATTAATTGCCAACAATACTATCATGCAACTTGTAGCAAGAATGGCATGTACAAGCTGCAATATCTTGCAACTTTTTTTTTTTTTTTAATTTTTAAGTACAGAGATGGAGGCACAAGGCCTAGTTCAAATGATTACTTTTCGGAGGTATGCAACGCCAATCCTATCGTGGTACAACCATCGTAGAACTGCAGCTGGTGGATCCTGTAATCTCTCCACACCCCATTGGTCCTGGTCTTCCAATCCCGCTAAACAATCAGCCGCAGAGTTTGCTTCACGGTGTATATGAGTGAGTTCAACAGTTCATTCCCGGCTAAGAAGGTCTTTTATGGCCATGATCAGACCCCCCCATGGAATCCTCCTTGAATCTGCTGGCTGTTCACCTTGTGCAGCACCACCTGGCTATCGAATTCCGCCACCAATCTCCTGATTCCAAGGTCCCAAGCGAGGAGTAGGCCTTGGAAAAGAGCCCAAAGCTCAGCTCCTGTTATTGAGGTAAACCCGATCAACATTGTAAACCCTCCTCCCCACCCACCGCTTGCAACTTATATTGTACATTCAAGTGGAAGTATAATGTGAGATTTCCAAATTATGACCTTCCGTTAAACATCAATGACATGACCGGAGTCAGTCACATGTTGACACTATGAACATCACAAACTGATGACCTAACATATATTCTCTCTATCCTGAAATTATTGTCCAATTTAAATTTTCATCTTCAGTTCAAATTATACTAAAAGTAAAATTTTAAATTAGACAATAATTTTGAGGCATAGATAATATTTTCAATCTGTACATAACGATGCACTATAAACCTATTAGATCGTCACATTTTTTTGTATTGTCTATTTTGCACGAGTAAATAAAAATTATCTTTTCTATTTCAAAAATGTAAAACAAACAAATGCGTTGTACTACTTTATAACAATGCACCATAACCTCATTCGAAGACTCATCACTAATAAAATTAACACCTAACATAAGAGTTTCTAATTTTTGTTACAACAATATCAAAAAACGAGGTTGAGTAATTCCATGAATTAGAAACTCTTATATGTTAGCCGGCGTTAATTTTTTAATCCGATCCATCCACTCATAATCCATAGATATGTCAAGGGGTGGTGGTACCGTGGTACTACTACTAATTTAATTTTCTCATGACGACGAATCAAACCCCTAATTTCACTCTATAATAATAAAAGCCTTTTTCCCATCTCTATAATCTCCTCCCATCATCCCCCTCTCCCCTAAAAGACGTACACACACACACACAGTAACGCAGCGCAGCAGCACAGCAGAGGAAAAAGTGTCAGGTCAAATATATATCCCATATATCAAAAAACTGCTTTCTTTGTCTTCAAGGAAGAAAAAAGGCAAATTCATGACCACAGCCCAGGAGGACCATTATCATCGTCGTCATCACCACCACCACCACCAGCCACCCACCTTTATTGCTAGTTCAATGGCAACCGCCCCTGGTATCAAACTCCACAATTTGTCCCTACCCAACTTGAGTTGGGCCCACAAGAGCCACAACCACCGCCACCTGGCGGCTGATCACGGCCGGGTTGAGAAGGACGACGTCGGTTTGGGCGGCGGGGGAGACGACAAGGAAGAAGAGAGGAATGAGGTGAGGCAATGGAATTTGAGGCCGAGGAGAGTGGCGACTTTGCCGCCGCCTACCACGTCGTCGGGAGTTGAGAAATTTCACGACTCTAAAACGGTGCCGTCTCGAAAAATTATTGACGACGCTGCTTCGGGTTCTATGCTTATGAAAAGCAGTAATAATAATAACAACAACAAGTCCTCCGCCACGCGGGTCGGTGCATTGGGCGGCGGCAGCGGCGGCGGCCACGGGTCGGAGAGGCAGAGGAAAGTGGTGGAGAGAAGGAAACTTTGGATCTCTCTTTCCAAGGAAGAAATTGATGAGGACGTTTATGCTCTGACTGGTTCCAGACCTCGCAGGCCTAAGAAACGACCCAGAACTGTTCAGAAACTGCTTGATGTATGTCAAATCCTCTATTAAAAAAAATGCTCTCTTTTCCTTTTCATTTTTTTCGTTGCCTGTTTCCATTTTACGGATGATTGTTTTCGTGGCAGAATGTTTTTCCGGCACTGTATTTGGTCGGGATGAGTGCTGAATCCTATAAGGGCCATGATCCTCAGGTGAGCTATTGCCCTGAATTTGGTCTTAAGTTGTTTGAATGCATGTTCCCATTGACCAAAACTTCTTCGTGTATTATTGTGATCCTTTTCTTAATGTGTGCTTATTAGTTTTATTTGTTTGCTGCAGAAATAGATAGGATTTAACTGATGATGCCGAATTCTTGATATTTAGGAAAGGTTCGTGCTTCTCATTTTCTGTTCCTTACCAATTTGAAATTTAGAACTTGTCCGTTTGTGAGTATTTGTATGCGGGAACAGTAGACTGAGCTATATTGAGTCTGCCATTTCTTGCAGATGTTGATACTATTTACAGAATACTGGTAGAATGTTGGAAAGCTTGGACTTTTATAGTGTTGATGGCTCAGCTGGAGGTATAAACTGCTTAGTTAAGAGAAAGGTTTAAATGGGTGATGATCAAAGTTATGTGTTAGCATTTCGAATCTTTGTTTTCTTCTTTTTTTACTGTTTTGGGTCATATCAGAAGTAAAGGCATGTGTTAGGTTGTGTTGCAGACTTCTGATGTAAAGTAGCCATATGAATCTTATTGGAGAGCTTATGTTTTTATTTATTCACATTTTCTTGAAAATTGTTATTTTTCATGCTTCAACTTTGTTGGGAGCAGAAGTAATGTTGCTTCTAATTGGCTACTAGAATGAACTCAGTTCAAGAATCTCTACTGTGGAAGTTCTGTCTGCTACTCTGGTTCATCTTAAGGATGGATATTTCTAGTCATGGCGTGCTTGGTCAAGAGCAATGGCTCCTGAAGTTAACATAACTGAGCTTTAGTTAGGATGAATCGTACTTCTCTCTATTTGTTTGATTCTCGCCATTCGACATAAATGTAGGTGCAAAACTCAGCTCAATCCTAAAGTACTTCACTTAGCCCACTCTGCTTGTTAGATAAACAAAGAGGGACGTGATCTTCGTAAGGCCTAAAATATTAGCTTATAATGAACAAGTCTGATGTGCTGTGACCAATGATTTCTCCCTGAAAACATGGTTGGCATTCGGATCTCTTATCCTAGGTATAACATGAAGCATCTTCCTTCAAACTGTGTTCATTTTCTTCCCTTGATAACCAAGTTCTTGCTGATTTTATTTTCTTCTCATGTTAAAGATCCTTTTTTACCCATTTTTACTATTATATGACGGTTGGATCTAATCTCTTGTTAGAAGATTCAGGTATGCATATATCACTGTGACAGAGAATTGGTTATAGCTCCTTAATGTTTGTTTTACTGAAACATGTTGGTTAAACACTTATGTCTTCTGACTAAGTGTAGGGGTTTATTTAGTGTTCTGTTCAAGTTTGTGTGGCCTAATGGGGGTTACAAAAGAAGAAGGGGGAAGATGTCAGGTGAGATGAAGTTTCTGTACTACTAGTTGATTTATGTATATGACTTTCCTCTGTACTAGGAGAACACATACCCCTCATAAAGTCAGCTATAAAATGAAGTAATGCGAATCCTTGATGTAGGAAACTAGGAATTGGTGAATCCTCAAAATTCTGGATTAAGTTCAACAGAATTGTGTATTCCATTATGCTGAAGAAGAAGATGATGAAAAAAATACGCATGGCTCCTCTTGCAGCTGCAGCTCTTGTATGTGCTTGCTTTGTTGTCAATACCTATTATCAACCATTCCCTCCCGATGCAATACTAGTTTGAAATGGTAGAAGTAAAAAGAAATAACAAGAAACAAGCTACCACATTTCGTCCCATATGATTAACATGTTTATTGTATTCATGGACAAAGTCGGAACAAATTTTGAAAACAATATCGAAGGACCGTTCGTAGTCAAATGAGAAGCCACGTTCAGAATGTAAATTGTAAATGACCACTCTTGTTTGACGATTCATGGTGTTCAAACTTGAGAATGCAAATGCAAAACAAAATCCAAATCAGTAGTAGTATTAGTTTTTGGTAGATAAACCAATGAGCTCATTACCCTCATAGTCATAGAGTAGGAATTATAAAACTTGGCATTAGGCTAAAGCTTCGGATTTCTAAAATGGAGAATGCAAGATGTAATGTATTTTTTTTTTTTTTAATAATTTTTATAGTTGCATTTCGCACTTTTGACTAATCCTTCTCGTGATGTATTTGCTGCTGATTTCCTTGTATTGACTAAACCGGACGGACCCGCAGTCGGCGGCAGAAAAGGTACGGTCTTTGTCTTGGGACCTCAAAAGCCTCAAAAATATTAAATCCACATATTAGAAGAAGTTAGATTTATGTTTACCCAAAAAAAAAAAAAAAAGAAGTTAGATTTATATACTTAAAAACAATATTGTCAACTGATAAAACTAAAATTTGACCTTTCATTTCGTTCACTTTTCTTCTGCATAGCACGAGCTTCCCCTTTTAGTCTCCCATATAAAGAGAAAAATAAATAACTTGTTGAATAATATATAATGAGCTCAGAAATCAACTTTGATTCAGTTTCTTTTTTTTTTTTTTTTAACATTTACAAACATGAAATGAATTAGCCACCGCAGTCAACATGAATTACTGTACCTAGGCTGCGGTTGCTAAGGTAATCCTGAATTCCTTATTCTTCGCACATACTCCCTCCGGTTATTTTAACTTTTCCTAAATTTCACATTGTACACATTTTTAATTGACGAAAAAATCTTTAAAATATTTCATAACAATTAAAGAACACAACGGATGTGAAAAAATATTTTAAAGGTTTTTTCGTCAATTAAAAATGTGTACTAGATTAAATCTGAGACAGATCAAAATGTCTTATATTAAGCAACGAAGTGAGTAATATATAAAATTTGCTTCAATGGCAAACTTCCAAAAATCTAAAATGATTATTTGTCAAATTATTAACTTAGAAATGGCTAAATCAATTCAACCAACACAACTATTAACCGGAAATTAACTTAGCTCAATCCCCTTCAAACTAATTAATTTCTTTTTTCCACAGCCTATGCTTCATCTAAACTTGATACACGTTTATCCTAATAATTCATGTGTATTCACATCAGTTTCCTAAGTTATGGCTCGATTTCAAAATTCTTCCAACAAAGGAATAATGTTTGTAGCATTTTCGAAAAGTTTACAAATTAATTGTAATTGTGAAATTCTGAAAGTAATGGTAAAAATTAAAGTTGGCTAGGGTATTCGAAAATTCTATTACCACTATTCAAAAAAAAAATAAATTTATTAGCGCTAGAACAAATACAATTTCTTTAAAAAAAAAATGAAAAAGAAGCATCAAAGTTTACCTCATTCTATACCTGAAGATTTAGTAAAGAGAACGCACGAATCAAGTCGTGCCCAAGTGGTTAGGGTGTTATACCTTTAACTGCAAGATTAAGGGTTTGATTCCTATTGCGGACGCGAAAAGCAGGTAGCTGAAGGAGGAAGCAGGAAACTGTAAGCAGGCTTGCCATCATTGGCCACGGAGGACCGGACACGTTGAGCAAGAGGCGCACGCGAGTGGAGTCTCCCCCTAACTAGTAATACTATCTCCTTTTCTAGGCTCTATTCCTGTTGTAATAATCTAGGTACCTCCATAAGTACTATTAGGTGTGGCCTTAAAGAAATATGTATGCTGCTAACTAAGAATTCATTCGGGAAAAAAAAGAAAAAAAACGTCCGTGAATAAACTTAAAAAAAGAAGAAAAAAGAAAAAAAAAGAAACAGAGGTGACCATAATAATTAATTAAAAAAAAATCGGAAAGGCCTCTTAACTCTAAAACCCCAATGGCCGCGCTACCCGACATGTTTCAAAAACCCTCCCAAAATTTTCACACACTCACGCACTGAATCTTCATCGAATTGGCTCTTATTAAGCTCGGTATGATTCTGTAAACCACAATTTGAATCCCAGATTTCAAGTATCTATTCAATTTCTTCATTATCCCAGCGTCAAGAATCTGTATTGGTTGAGCTAAAGACTGTATGGAGCAGAAGAGATTCGGCGACGCCTCCTCCAACGGCGGCGCCACCGTTTCCAACAGACTCCCAGTTCCACACCGACAGCCTAATTACACTTGCAAAAAAGTACAGGTATTTCAATCAAACTATATTGAGTTATCTCCGAGAGTTAGCGCAGTACTTTACAAAGCTTATTTGTCCTCCATTTTTTCCAGTAATTTTACATGTTTTGGAAACCCTCGTGGAAATGTTGAATAATAGTGGGACTATTGAAACATTGGTGGTGTCAACTTGTTCATTCAGTTGTGCTGCTAATGGGAGTTGTAGTGTTGTTGTTGTTAGGGTTTTGCGTCGAGGTTAAAATTTAATCCTTTCTAAAAGTCGTTGTTCAGATTAGTTCTTTTCCCCCCTACTAAAATCAGCTCGGATGAGAAGTCGAATAGTAAGGAGATTCACAGTTATATGGTTTCTTGGAACTGTTAACACATGGTAAGCTAAATAGCTTGATGTTTGGATTATAGGTAGGCTATTGAACTGAATTCAATGGTTTCTTGTTTTTTGATATATGGTTAAAAATTGTTATTTGAGGCTTTAATATTCTCGTCAGCTTTTTGTGGAAATGCTAGTATAGGATGTAATAGAGGGATAAATGACAGTGGTATTGAAAATAAAATGGGGAATGAAGAACAGTGGAAAGAGATGCAAACTTGATGATTACTCCATTCATGTGATTCCACGCCTCTGATGATAACATTTATGGCAGGAAGCTCTAAAACATCTGGCCTCAATCGATCCTCTTGAGTTGTGTAATGCAGCTAAAGTTGAGTACTGTAGAGCTACTAGGGATTTAAGAAGTTGCGGAAGATACGTAAAGAGTGTTTTAAAGTCATGCGGTCATGCCTCCTTATGCGAAGAATGTAGTCAGCGCTGTGATGTTTGCCCAATTTGCCGAATTCCTTTGCCCAAGGATGGTGATAGACTTCACCTTCGTCTTTATAATGAGTGCATAGAAGCTTGTCTTATATCCAGAAGGTGTGATGACGGATTGCAAGATAAAGAAGATGGAGAGAAGGAACTTCTTCCCGATGTCCAGCGTTTGTATTCTCTGTTTGACGTTGCCCTGGAGAATAATTTGAGCTCTCTTATATGCCACTGTATCCTTACGTGACCCTGTTTTGTGCAATTGGCAGTGTCTGCTTGTCATCCTTGTTTAGGAATATGTTTACTTGGCGATGTAGTCAAAAGCCTATGGGTTCCTCTTCTTGTTTCCCTTGTGTTCTGGTTGTTTAGTTTTTGTGTCATTACCTGAAATTATAAAATTTTTGGGTACTCTGATATTTTACTGGCTATCTATCTATTGATATGTCCATGACCCTATTAGACTCGAAAACAATTTGCAAAATTGTTTGTTTGAATCCATTTCCTTTGGCAGTTTATTTTCCTTAAAACAGATTACAGATGTTACAGATGTCTGCATGGATGAAAGTGCTGTATCCAACGATCCCGTGGTTGCCTTCTTACTGGATGAAAAGGTTGTGAAAGATTGGTGCAAGCGGACATATAAAATTATTCTGACGGAGCTTCAAGAGATATGTATCCTGATATGAACATTTTTTTGGAAATTTTTACATATCATTCTGTTTAAGAAACAGCACTCTTTGTATGCTTTAACTAGCTTATAATAGATAAGTTAACGGTAGAAGAATTAAAAGGAAGTTTGAGTTTGCTGCTCAGATTTTCTGTTAAGCTTGCTGGTTTGGCCAATGTTCTAGATGTTCTGGAATCTTCATTCAACGGTTTTGCTTCAGCAAAACTCAATGACCTTTACCATCTTCAAGAAAAAATTTTGAAGACAAAGCAGGTGAATTTGCTTATACTTTGATTCATCTACTGCACAATTTCAAGTTATACAATTTTTGCTGCCTTTTTTAACTTTTAGAAGCATACCAAAGTAGGTATTTTCATAGCCATGTTTGAATTCAAATGGTAATAGTTGCCTTTGTTATAAGTAGACCTAATTGAGATATAATGCATATAGTCCGGTCTACCAACATTTGGAGTAATGGTTATACTGTTAGCGTTACTTTTAAAAGTAGTACTCCCCCTGTCCCAAAAAAAAAGTCCATATTGAGTTTGGAATTTGTACTAAAAATAGTACAAATTTGAAAACTCAATGTGGACTTTTTTTGGGACAGAGATAGTATCAATTAAGGTTTTCGGAAAAATAGAAAAAATCCCTATGTAATGAATGAATGGGAGTTGCTAACCTTTCTTTTGAAATAACTGTTACCTCTCTTCCCTTCTTGCTCGTCGTCCTCTTCTTAGTAGTTTAATACTGTCATGAATATTGTTATTATGGTCTGTTGTGTGACTCTAAATCTGATAATGCGGATAGGATAATGTGCTTGAAAAGCGCTTTGTAGGAATTGCTTTTATCTGCTCTGCTGTGATTAAGTTTTTATTTCACATTTATTCATTCTCTCTCTCTCTCTCTCTCTCTCTCTCTCTCTTTATTGTTCTTTTACATTTTCAGCACATGGAGGTTGTAATTTGGTGTGCAAGACATAATTTTCTGGAGGATGTGAGGTCCCGTCATACTAATATTGCATCATGGCGTTCGAATTTTCGTGAGAGAAAATCTTCTGCGATGAAGCGTGCATGGCCTGATTTGGTTATAAATAATGCTACCCAGTCCAGTGGGGATAATGCCACACTTTTTATTGAAGAAGCACTTGCAAATATTGATACAGAGGTGGGACATACAGATGATGATGGAGAAGAATTTCCTATTGCAGTCTTGCAACAAGACAATGGATCTTTATTTTTACGGTCAAAATTGGAGGGTTTGGCAGGATTGTACCCATTTGAAAGTTTGAGAGCTGCTATTGATTTGCTATTTTTGTGTGGAAGTTCTGATATGGTGGTACCAAAGCAAGCAATTGTATCCTTTTGCATGGAGAATTTTGTTTTAAGTTATAATTTTTTAATCTGATTTTGACATATATGTTTTTCTTGACGTTTGATCAGTTTTTGTACTACCTATATGATTGGCATTGGACATTGCCAGAGGACAAATGGAGAGAAATTGTTGATGATTTTGCCGCCACTTTCAGTATAACCAGGCATTCCTTACTGGAATCATTTGTCTTTTATCTTCTGGATGACCATACTGATGAAGCCCTCCAGGTGACTTGATCTCGAGCCTGCACCATTCCTGTTGTAATTTTATTTGTTGGAAATGGTTTTTTTCCCTCAATATATTGAAAAGGGAATTTCCTTATTCTTGAACTGTCAAAGCCATGGATTTTTTAATTTTTAACTGATAGTCTTTAGTGTCGACTAATCTGAATCTTCAATATATCCTTACATCAACACAACTGGTTATGATTTTATATTACTGGATACTTTTGCGCTTTATCGTTTGAGTCTGGTTTTCTTTGAAAAGTTATTCGCTCGTAGAAACTAAAGGCTAACTCTTGCCTACAACAGTAATGGTTTATTTTCCTCGTGAACATGAGAGTCAGTCAAGTTTATACTGTAAGAAGGTAATATCCTTTCAGGTTGAACGTCCAATCAGGTAAAATTTTTTATGTGAAATGTGGTGTGTTTGAATGCATGAATTCATTTACAAACTCTCTTCTTGGAAGGCGGGAAATCGGAATGAATCCCTTCAATTATTATGGTGTGAAATAAGTACGGTTTTGTGTACTAAAATCTGAAATTATTATAATTTCAGGAAGCTTGTCGTCTCCTTCCTGAAATTTCAGGTCCTACTGTTCATCCCAAGGTGGCCCAGGTTTTGCTAGAAAGGCAGAATCCTGATGCTGCTTTGATGGTTTTGAGGTGGTCAGGTCGAGATGAACCGCGGTTGGTTTCACTTGAAGAGGCTGTGACTACTGTTCGGGTGCGAGTGGAATGTGGACTTCTTACTGAAGCTTTCATGTATCAGAGATCTGTCTGCATGAAAGTCAAAGAACATAAGTCGCGTGATGATTCTTTTCAGCAAGCTTCTGGTGAAACAGGATATGCGTGTTGGACATGGGTACAGTGGGTTGAGGCTTTGGTGACAGAAATATGTTGCCTATGCATTCGAAGGAATTTGGTTGATCGGATGATTGAGTTGCCGTGGAATTTTGATGAGGAGAAGCATCTTCACAAATGTTTGTTGGACTTTGCTATGGATGATCCTTCATCTAACATAGGAAGTCTTCTTGTTGTATTCTATTTACAGGTACTTCGCTCATCAATTAGAACACATTTTTCCCAGTTTCATAGTCATTTGTTTATTGATATTGTTTTCTCTTTTGTCAGCGTTATCGGTATATCGAAGCTTATGAAGTTCATGATAAGCTTATCAGCCTGGAGCAGGACATCGTTTCCGATGAACAAGTCTCAATGAGGATGAGATCCATAAGTCATTGGAGATCAACATTAGTTGTAAGTGAATCATAGTTTGAGATTCCTTTTCAGGTTTCACCTGAATTTATAGAGTTCTTTGCATTGAAAATTCTGTGTGGATGAATGGGATTCAGTCGTAGAGACAAATAGCTTTGTTGAGTTTGAATTCTCTGATAGACGTAAGCCAAACCTGTTGAACTTTAAAACTGGAGGCAAGATGAAAAACTTTTTGTCAGTTCAACCTGGAGTAGAAAGCCAAAAGTCACATAGCTCCCTCGCCTTACCTTGGGTTGGGTTATTTGTACTTACTATTGTCTCTCTCAACAGTTTAGTTTGAAGTGCCAAGACAGAAATCAATAGAGAGGCAGCATTCTTAGGTAGATAATTACTTAGGTTACTTGGGTGAGGGAAGCTGGTTTCCAGTGTTTTGGGACGTATGGAAGTAACCCCATGAGTGAAATGATGATGCTTGAGTCTTTTCCTTCTGTTCTTTGTCATTTCTGCTGTGAGTAAATACATCACATCCATTAAGTTTCTGAATTGAATCTGCTGCTTCTGCAGGAGAAGAGCATAGAGTTATTGCCTGATGTACTGCAGCGGCAATTGAAATCCGGAAAGCTGCCTGAAACTGTAGTACCTCATTCTGGCGAAGGTTGTTTTCCAGAACAATCCATTGATGCGATAAGGAAGGAGCCTCCATTAACCAGTTTGTTGCTCCCTCCTGTCGATTCTTCCATTGATAATGCAATGGATGATGTAATGCCTTCACCAAGAGATTTGTTGCTGAATACCTCATCAAAAGTGGCAGGATCCATTTTTAATCATTATAACGATCATGGTAATTCTGGTGCATCTGTCTCCCGTGTGGGGTTATTTGGGGAAGCAGAGAAACCAGATGGAAGCATAAGAAAAAACTTCAACTTCGACATCAGCTCCACTGCTCGCCATTCTAGTCCATCAGGCACTTCTCCAATCAGAGGGGTGAACAGCAATATATCACGAAAGGATCGGATTATGCACCTTCAAAATGGATCATTAAACAAAACTCATAATCAAAATGTGTATTCCCATAAGGTTGCTGCAAAGCCTGCAACTCCCAGTAGGAGCAACCATGGTCTGTTTGCAGATTTTGGTCAGGACTCAGCTATGCTTGGCAGCATTGGGTCTTTAACAACTAAACCAGACATGCCTCAGATTCCTTTTACAAATGATTCCATGGATATATCTTGGAGGTAGAAGTTCTATCCCCTTGTTATTTTTACATCAGCATCATTTTTTTTTTTTCCAATGAAGCTTCTCTTCTTTGATTCGGAGTATTGAATTGTTAATGGAGAAGCTACCTGAGTGTGCCCCTGTGTCATTATGTTTCTATTGACTCTCTCAGTCATGACGATGGGGGTGTGTCTGTCGAAAAAGCTAATTCCAATGGTGGCCCCAGATGGCGTTCTGATGACTCTAGTGATGATGATGGACGCCAAAACCCAGTAACAGCTGCGACTCATACAAGGAAGAAAAGAGGATTTAGGCGAGACAGGCTTTCAAGAAGATGATACACCAAAGTTGTGGAAATTATAGTTTTTTGTATCACATTGTAAACATCATGATGGCTATCAGTGATAGGCTACAATCATTCAAGATGGGTGAAGTTTATCAGATGTTTATATTGATTCCCTCTCGAGGAGCAATCTTGATTCAACTTGCATTTTCGGAAACCAAATTTTGGAATACACAGCCTTTCCTATACAAATGCCATGATTTTCACAAAAGGGATGTAGAGCAGTACTGATACGGCCAACATTTTGTAGGTTTTATTGTTTCAGCTTTTCAAGGCATGATCATTGAAGTTTGTGAGTAATGTCAATATTTTACCTCGAGACGTAGATAGATAGGTGACCTGACATTCTTCATATTGAGGTTGTTTTCCGGCTATTAAGTTATAGAACTTTATGGCATTCTTATACGTTGTACTTGCGTATGGTTGACATTAATTTGTACGCGGGAGTTATCACGAAGTCACGACAGCCTTTCCTCCAGAGTTCCAGGGCGAACCGTTTGGTTTCTGAAATTCCAGTTTGTTTCGGGTTTTTAGCATTTCGGATGATTGAGAGATGTCGTTGGAACGAACCCCGTTTTTTTTGTTATTATTATGATTCAGTAGCATTATATATCTGTTGGTCTTTGCCTCTTTGGGTGTATTTATTTTTATTTATTTTTTGGGTCGGTGGTTTTTATCGCGGTCAGTATAGTGAACATGCAAAGCTACTTATTTTCAACATCTTGGCGCTCACCTTAATCCAATGACACTTTAATGTGGTTCACCCCTCAATCGGTGCCATATCCCTGGAAAAATCTTCATGATTTTATTCTACTTACAGGCGGCTTATCACTTGTACTGTTTGCTTAAAATCTCCTCTGCTCCCCCATAAGTAGTAGCCAAAGTCGAAAGGGACATACTCCCTCCATCTCCAAAATTAGGGAATGTTAGTGTATACATCCCAACGCTTATATCCAACTAGTCAATTCATTTTAAAGTTTTAAAATTAGTTAGTTATCAAAATTGAACAGATCTATCCCATGACCTGCAACCAATAAAAGTGACCTGCTATAACATTTAAAATAATTTGGTTCAATAATTAACAATTTTACTCATTTTTTTAAAAACTTTTTAAAACTTTGATTTATTGAAAGACAAACAACATTAATAAAACGAACAAATTTAAAATTTTTAGTTAATTTTTCATGAATTTAATATTTTTTTTAGTTTAATTCATCGTAATTTGTTGATAAAATTTAAGATACATCTCACATTTTTTCATTTTATTTGAGTAAAAAAAAAAGAATGATTAAAATTCACATATATATCTTTGTATTCAATAACTAATAAATTTTGAGTTCATTATAACTTTGTAAGTTTAAGTTTGCGAAGAATTAATTCTTTTTTAGTAATTATTAATTAATTTCTTATGAGTTCTTTTTCATTTGGAATTTTTGTTTATTTTTTTAATGAACTAAAAAAATGACAAAAATTATGAATGAGGAAAAAAAAAGAATAAATAAGGACCCAATAGATTTTTACCTATTATCTCAAGTCACTTTTGTTATTTTGCAGATCATGGAATGAATTTGTCAATTTTTAATAACTTTGGGACAATTGATCAATTTTAAAACGTTGACATGAATTAGTTAGTTGGGTATAAACGTTGGGATGTGCACTCATTCACCCCTGAAATTTTTGTCCAATTTGAATTTTCATTTTTAGTACAAATTAAACTGAAAGTGAATTTCCAAATTAGACAATAGTTTTGGTACATAGGGAGTAAAAAACAAGAAAACAAAGCTCCCCACGCCATTAGCACGAACTCATGCACAGAGACTGCTCGAGTTGATTATATATTTGTGAGAGAAAGAGATCAATCGAACATAAAAAAGAAAGCAAATCGGAAATGAATTTACCCTAGAAAGGGGATTGTCTTGTCGTCCCAATTACATCTGTGATTGATCATGGATTTTCCTAATCGGAAATGACACAAGGCAATTCTGATGTTGGCGAGGACTCGGTTCTCACCGAAGAGTTAGGAAGAGATTCATCATTTATGTTTTGGATTCAGCGATACTTGGTTACCTCATCTGTTGTGTTTTGTTTTGGTGTGTGTGTGTGTGTGTGTGTGTGTTTTCAGGTTTATATGACACGACCAAGAAATTGTTTTAGACTTGAAAAAGGTGAGATGTTTTTATGATAAGCGACAGAAATATAATTCACCGGTGGATTTCACAGGTAGCACGTACTTGGCACAAAAATGTAAACTCATGCAAAACAAAATTGACACCTAATACAAATTTCTTTACCCTACGACCCAATTAACACGCCTATACAAACTTCCATTTGGCAATTACATGATGATTAACCTAACTTCGTAATTGGCAAAATTATTCTTAATATTTTCTTTCCTTTTCTTTAGAGAGAAAATTATACTGCTTATAATGCTTAATAGTAATGAAGACTGGAGTGCATTTTGTGCAAATTCGTTCAGATCATATCAGAGATGAACATCAAATTTTACGCAAAATCACCTAAACAATGGTTAATAAGTGCGGTTAACGGTATATGCCTAATAGATGTAGCATTTAGCTCTATACAACACCATTCACATAAAATTAAACGGACCTGAGTGGAGAAAGTTGGGTCGGGTAGTAAGGTTAGACTATAAGGCCAAGGATTTTTGACCCATTCTTTACTGAAGGATTACTGCATGTAAAGAGAGGCCGCCCTCTAGTCTAGTCTAGCAGTTTCGACCCAGAGATCAGCTCATTTGCCAACTCAACAACTAAGTAGCTTCCTGGGTTGGTAGGAATTGAAACTCCAACACTCGCCAATAGGGAGTCAATCAAAGATGTATTGATATCTATTTTCTCACTTCACGCCAATTAAATCATAGATCCACGATAGTTTGTGCAATATTCGAATAATATATACTATGTTTCTTGAAAAATTAGATCGTTCTAATGAGATTTGAACCTTGATCTCATGACTCCGTAATAATAATATCGAATATCGGCAAATTATCTGGTATACCCGGGGACACCGTGTATCCCATGTACGTGTATTTTACTCTCTTAAAATAGCGTTAGTCCGCGAGATAATTCAGTTTTTTTTTTCTTTTTTTTTTTAAACGCGGCATATATAAATTACCGAATTCATTCAAATTTTAAAAACTTTGTGATGGAGTATTATTGTTGGGCGACGGCCGGCGGCGATCGAGGCGTTGAGGTGGCAATGAGAGTCGGCAATCGAGGCGTTGAAGCGGACACGACCGGCGACGATCGAGTCGTTGAGTCGGCGAATCAAACTGTCCATTTACAACTTGTCAATTACCAGTTTACACAAGAATCAAATGTAAACAAAAAACATGGATAACCAGTTTATACCTTGTGGATAACCAGTTTACACATTGTGGATAACCAGTTTACAACTTGTGGATAACCAGTATGAAATAGGTGGATAACCAGTTTACACCCTGTGGATAACCAGTTTACACCCTGCGGATAACCAGTATAAAATGGGTGGATAACCACAAACAAAGTTTGGACAAGCACCCCATAGCACACACGCAGGAAAACATGGATAATCAGTTCAGATATAGTGGATAATCAGTAACAAAAAAAACACAAAAACATAGATAACCAGTTCAGTTTGTCCATGCCACATAGAATCAAATGTAAAAAAAGCATGGATAATCAGTTTACAACTTGTGGATAACTAGTTTACACCTTCTGGATAACCAGTGTACAACTTGTGGATAACTAGTTTACACCTTCTGGAAAACCAATTTACAACTTGTGGATAACTAGTTTACACCTTCTGGATAACCAGTTTACAACTTTGTGATAGAGTATTATTGTTGGGCGACGGCCGGCGGTGATCGAAGCGTTGAGGCGGCAATGGGAGTCGGCGATTGACGCGTTGAGGTGGACACGACCGGCGGCGATCTAGTCGTTGAGACGGTGACGGCGTTCAGCGATCGAGGAAAGGCTCCGGGGCAGGTTGGTAATCGGTTTGTGTCCCCTCTTAACGCAATAACACACTCTCCTTACACACACACTCTCGTTACACACACACACAAAAAGGATTCCCTTAGCTACATTGGCGTGTTCGGCGGGGCGGCGCAACCGGAGCAGGTTGGTGACCTGCGATTCCGGTAGTCGCGGGAGTCATTTAGTTTATCATGGGGGGCGAAGCCCCCCAATTTACATGCCGTTTGCTTCTCTAATTAACAGACTCTCCTGGCGGCGGTGATAATCGGCGGGGGGTTGCGAAACTGTCCATTTACAACTTGTGGATAACCAGTTTACACAAGAATCAAATGTTAAAAAAACATAGATAACCAGTTTACACATTCTGGATAACCAGTTTACAACTTATGGATAACCAGTTTACACCTTTTGGATAACCAGTTTACTACTTGTGGATAACCAGTTTACAACTTGTGGATAACCAGTATGAAATGGGTGGATAACCAGCAATTATGGTATGGACAACCATCACATAGCACACGCAGGTAAACATGGATAACCAGTTCAGATATAGTGGATAATCAGTAACAAAATTATGGATAATCAATAAATTATGGATAACCAGCAATTGTGTGTGTTTGTGTGTAAAGATGAAAACAGTAAAATGGATGAAAACAATTTTGTTTGTGCATTTAATGTAAAGGTAAAAAATGTTGAGCGCGTGTAGCGCGTGTATTTGGTGGGGTTATACGATATACCCGGGTACACTGGATACGGACTCTCGAATATCTTCGAGACCAGAGTTTGGGTCCGTAATGTGTACGACTTTCGTACTTTTAATTCTGTAGTTAAGATATTTTCATTTCAACGTTTAAAAACACATGTATGGTACATTTTTCATTAATCTTTGTGTTAAGGTGCATAAAAAAATGTTCCCCAAAACAACTAAGGACGTGGTGCTTATCACGAACTTATTCCAAGTACTGGAACTGGAACCATTGCCTTTGTTGGCGGATTCGGGCTTATGACCAATTTTTTTTCCTCCAACATCCCTCTTCTGATTAATTCCGTAGCTAGAACTTCTGGGGTGTCATTTTCGATGAAGTTGAAATAAAAGCAGCCACAGGAAAAATTGCTTTTAGCAAATGAAAGAATCTTTTACAATAATCCAGAATCAAGAAATATGTGAACTGTATATGGATATCTACACTTGTCGTTACAGCCGAAGCAATTTTTGTGGTCCTAGAACAAGTTTTTTTTGTTATGTAAGAGTTACAACCCCAATCAAGTCAAAGGTTTCTCCACTAGTTCAGTAACTAAATCGTTGGATAATTAATGAGAAATTGGGAGAAAAGTTTAAATACCTTGTCAAATTAAATTCTAATGAGTATTATATAATGTGTAATACGAAAGTGTTTTAAAAGATTTTTTTGTCTTTCAAGTATAGTAGATTATGAATCATTGCATACGAGATAAAGAAAATCCAAGTTTGAGAAGTAAATTATTTATTCTTTCCACATAGTGTGAAAATAAATCCAAATTCTTTCAGTGCCTAAACCTAAAGCCTCAACTTCAAATTAGTTGTAGCAACGTTTTTGGACACTGAGTCCATGACCTTGAAAGGAAAAAATCCAAAGCTTTATCCTTAAGCTACTTATGCGAAAAGAAAGGGAGTTGATGAAAATTAGGAAACTTAAATCCAAGAACATTTCGCAGTCTAATTCCTAAACATATATTGCAATCTTGACATCTTGTTATATATATATATAAAGTCCCAACACGGCCATCTCTTCGTCCCTTTAACATATTATTAGCAACAAAACATGAAGTTCTCTATCAAAACAAAAGGCTCTGATCGTGATCGCTGTTATGGCAGCATGAAGGTCGTTCCAATGCCAGAAAAGAAGAAGATTGATCTTGATTTTACCACCACACAACGTGAAGTTGATCTCTCCGAGTTGTTTATCGGGCTAAAGTTCGCTCGCGGCGCAGACAGCGAGATTTACCGTGGGACATACGACGGTGAACAAGTTGCGGTGAAAATAATTCAACTTCCCGAAGTCCAGGGTAAATTAGAGGATGATGATGATGATGATGATGAAGAAAAAGGCCAACAAGTAATCAGAGATCGTTTATGGAAGCAGTTCAAGTACGAAGCCGGGTTCTTATCTCGTCTTCGCCACAAGAACGTCGTAAAACTCGTCGCAGCCTACGAAAAACCACCGGTTCTCATGGTTGTCACAGAATATTTAGCCGGCGGTTCCTTGCGTTCTTACCTCAACCAACTCATAATAAAACCGGTTTCCTTGGCGAAGGTAATCGATATGGCGCTGGATATTGCTCGCGGGATGGAATATATACACTCGGAAGGCATCGTTCATCGGGATCTTAAACCCGAAAACATACTCATCGACGAAGAATTCAACCTAAAAGTGGCCGATTTTGGAGTGTCGTGCAAGGAACTTGACTGCGTTAACCTAGTTAAGGATAATTCGGGTACGTATAGATGGATGGCTCGGGAAGTGATCATGGGAAAACCCTTCAACCGAAAAGTGGATGTTTATTCTTTCGGACTAATGTTGTGGGAATTGGTTTTCGGGGAAGTTCCTTTTCGTGACCTGACCCCGTTGCAAGTTGTATACGCCGTAGGGACCAAGAATCTTAGGCCAGGATTTCCTGGTAAGCAGTGTCCGAGGGCAATGAGGGTTTTAATCGAGTCGTGTTGGTGTTTACGGCCGGAGAAGAGACCCGAATTCTGGCAGATAGTCAAGGTTTTGGAACAGTTTCGTGGTCGGCTTAGTCGTGGCGAGACGCTGGATCCGGTGATTGAGGTTCCCGGTAGTTGTTCGGATGATCACAACAATAAACACAACCATAGGCGCATGCATTGGATCAAAGTACACATGCCAAAATTTGGATTAAGTTTTTGATGAAATATTCTCTATATCGACATCTGGGATTACTTTGGAGAATTGTTGTTTATTTAGTTGTTGTTGTGGTGATCTTCCCCACCCCTAATTGTATATAAGGAAGATTCATTGAGTCAATTGTAATGTTTGACTTGTAATTCGTTCAATTCGAATGAATATCAATTCAATTTGCGAAAAATAAATCAAGGGTATCATCTAATGAAAAACTAGTTGGATTGCATCGAGGGTTAATCAGAGTTATTCGTGAATTATTAAAGAGAGAGTGGACAGTAGAGCTAAACCACATCTATCGGGAACGAAACTTTGCAGCAGATTCACTAGCGGCGTTAGCAGCTTCTAGCCTTGGAGGTCTAGTACGAGTGGAGGATCCACCTGATGTGGTAAAATCTTGGTTATATCATGATATAATTAGTGTTGCTTACCAACGGTCGATAGCAATTTAATCCATCAGGCAATTACCTCCTCTTATTGTAAAAAAAAAAAAAAAATAGTTGGAAACTAATAGTGAATGTTTATTGACTATTTTAACATCAAGACAAAGTCATCACTCTAAATCTAAGTCCTTTGGAGTAGATTATATTTTTAATTATGCTTACTTAATGGAAATATAGTTGTCACTCTTAGTCTTAGTCACTTAACGGAAATACTCTCTCTCTACGTGCTAATGGCGTGGTCAACATTCTTTCCATGATTTTGTATGCATTTGAGTTTGGCTACTAGTAACAATTGAACAAATATATATATATATATATATATATATATATTAATCATACTTCAAAAAATCATACTTAACTGGTTTTTTGAACTTAAAAAAGTGACATTTTTTTTATAATAATATGTGACAGAAATATAAATGTTGATTTTAGAGGCAGCACAAACTTTGCACAAAAAAATTAAAATTATGCAAACATGTTTTTATTTATTAATTTTGGCCCGTATAAAAAAGTTTTAACTGTAAACAATTTTTTTTTAACGTAAAGATGACCCAATTAACACTATTTACTTAGATTTTTGTTGTGGAACCTTGCATTTCGTTATAAAAGTATATGAGTAAGTACAAAAGCTAATTACATCATGCGTGATGAAATCTCATCCTAACAAATCCTTCTGAGTTTAATAGATATTGTCGTCTTGGAGTGTATTTTTATGAAAATTCATTCATTCACATAACTAGCTATGCATTAGTTCATGAATGCATATCAGATTTTATGCAAAATCCCATAATTAATGGCTTACAAGTATCATACCATACCATTGTATCCAACTTTATGTAAAACCATGGTTATTAGTGGGTACAATTCACCACCTTCCCCCTGCCCCCCCCCCAAAAAAAAAAATATTCCCCTTAATTAAGAAAAAAACACACACGCACACAATAGTAAAAGTAATAAAGTTATTTCTCCTCCTACAACATGCAATCGACATTTTCCTTACCAATTTATGATCTCTTCTTTTAACTATATAAATTGATCTCCATCGACAATCTTCTTCAACCCACCTGTTTTTTTTTTTTTTTAATCAAACCAGGTAATTACCTGAAAAATTCATTAATATAGCAAAAAATTCTTGGGGCAGTGTTTAAGACTTACCCCGTTTAAAGAGAAACTGTCATATAATGACAGCAATTTAAAAGCTAGTAAACTATATCGAAAAAAAATACAAGAAAAAACAACAAAAACAAGAAAAAAAAAACAAATACAAGAAAAAACTATATCGAAAATTAACAACAAAAACAAGAAAAAAACAAATATAAGGAGAATTTCTTCAGGACGGCCGCATCTCGGGTTGCTCGGACGTCGTTTGCTGCCTAGAGAACATCAGACGGCGATGGCGGCTGGTTTAAGATCTAAATCCAGATCTGCAGTTCTCATCAGAATTGGTGACGTCACCGACGATTTTGTCTGATTGTGACCGGATCTGAGCGTCTGAATTGGTCCGTACACCTATAGATTTGGCTGCTGGTGCGTCATGAGTGATGGCTGTACCTGACCACTGGATTCAGATCTGAGGGATTTGCACTGTCAACACAGCAGTAGGCTCCGATGATCAGGATGGTGTTGGCAGTGACGTATTTGTTAGCGGCAGCAGAGGACGGAATCCCCGGATCTATTTTACGAAAGAAAGAGAGAAGAAAAGAAAAAAAAATTAACGAAAATGGCTCCCCCGACCGCCGGTGATGGTGGCCGAGGGAGTACTATATTTTGAAAACCGGACCGGAAAGCGAACCGACAACTTAAGTGGTTCACTGGTTTACCGGTTCAATCGGCTTAGATCGGCTTTTAAAACCGATAAAAACCGGCTATAAAATTATTAAAAAAATAATTAATTTTCAAAATTTTAAAATTTTAGTTTAACCGATACCGGTTTCCGGTCAAACTGCGATATTGTCCGGATTTGACCGAATTTGACCGGTTTTTAAATCTATCAGTTATTAATTAAAACCGGACCTGAAAAGCCTCTGATTCTCGGTCGAACCAGTTCGACCACCTGGTCCAATCCGATTTTCAAAACACAGGTATAATCTGGCAAGGGAAGGCTTTTAAAGAGAGAGACTTTCATTGTAGTCCTATGGTTAAAGGTCCCAACCCACCTGGTTCCTTTCTTCTAAAACAACCAAATTAATTTTCGGTTCTTTCTAAATTTTTAATTCCTATATGTCGTTCAGAGAGTGTCTTTAGATAATTGTGATACGCGTCATTATCACATTGGTCTTTCATTAAGTATAAAAAAGAATTTAAAACCTTGGTTTAATTTAAAATATTATCTTCCTTTTTTCATCTGAAATTTGAACTATTATCAATATTTATGTTAAAACCTTTATTTTGCATAATCAATGTTATAGAAAATTATATAAGGAGTGCATTTTATTAAATTATTATACTTTATAGTTTATTAGTATTAATAATCTATACAAGAAAATTACTAATAGAGTTAATTAATTCCAATCTTATAATAATGCTAATAAAATTAAAATTAAAATCTTTAGCGCGTTATTTATTGTCTTATTTAATGAAACAACTTTGCAACACTACCAAAAATGTCTATTTAATGAAATAATTTTGTGGTATGCTAAAAAATTAATGATTGTGACGTAGTCAACACAAATTAATTTTTTTTTTTTAAGAAAAAGATGAATATGAAAGTCTCCTAAAACAATAAGAATTTCGTATCAACATACCTAGAAAATGGAATGAGCACATACTCTACACCCTTCAAAACGATTGTATTAAAAGTAACAGTTCAAATTGGACAATCATTTTAGAATAAAAAGATATTATTTAGTCGATTGTAACTCTTAAAACCTATATTCGACCCGAGCAACTGCTTGAGCATAGAGAATATATATTGTGTCCTTTAACTTTCAACCATAGAAATAGTAATAGTATACTAGATTTTCAGCCTGTGCGAATGTCCAGCCGGCTTCACACATTTTCTTTTGACAGAATAAAACAAAAATATTAATAAAAGAGCTAATTTACATGTATACTATGAATTCCCATAAAAGCTCTGAATATAGTCGATCGGACAAAAAAACTTCTCCCCAAAAAACAATTGGCATGAACCCGAACCCTCATGTCTCCACATAATATTTTCATATCCTCGCTTGGTTTGCCTTGTTTAGTCTCTAAAATTTAGTTGCATCTGATTCCAGCCCTCACACATACTCGTCGCTCGAGGGCATGTTGCATATATATGATTCTACACGCGTGGCGGCCTATAAAAGTTCAAAATAGCATCTTAGCAGTTTTCTAGACATATCATTCTTATGAACTTGTAGCCTTGATCAGTTCAAAATAGCCATCAACAGCCAATGTCAGTTGAAAGTGATACAATCACAATTACAAAGACCAGAACTAACAATACGGACGGAATTAGGAAATGCCTATTGTTGCAGTAAAAAAAAATAATAATAGGGAAATGTGCTCTTAGCCAAAGAAAAAGCTTCAACACCTTAGTCACTTCGCACATATGGAATAAGACGTAAACTTATGGAGTATTTAATCAATAGGTATGAAGCTTCAACACAGGAGTTTCTTTCAGTCAATCCATCAATTGGATGTACTCTATACCTAAGAACTCCTGCATCACCGTAACTTGCAGCAGTAATTTTCTCATGACAGGAGAAAAAATATAGATGAAATAAAGGACCAAAAAATTAGACAATCTTGTGGCGTAGCCGGGAACATTTGCGGGTTATAGCTATAACCATCAATCCATCATTATAACCTTCATCCATCCATCACAATGAAACAGAACAATCTTCAAGACTTCGAATGATCATTATCAACTTGTTCGGGTAATTTCAACAAATCATCATCAACATGAACATGGTGAGCACTATGAGAAAATAATGATTCTGCAGTAACAAGAAAAAAAAAAAAGAGGATCTTTTATGGCTACAAATCCATTAGAAAGAACCAAAATCAATTTTTTTTTTTCCATGAAAGTTGCATTTCGTATTGATGCCATGAATTGTTTTGAAGATATGTATTTGAAGATGATAACTGGAATCATCCTCATCTAAGAATTAAAAAGAAAAGAAAAGATAGTATAAGAATTAAAAGTAATCGACGAAAGATAAGTTATTCAAAAGAGATGATTTGGTACTTACAATTATAACATCTTACACGTGCATTAGCCGGCTTCTCCGATCGGATCTTTGGACCATAAACATATTCATCAGCATAATCTTCATCCCATTCATCAAAAATAAAAAAACAGCAATGTTCAGACTTCAGAACATCATCTCCTCAAGTCATTAGCATCATTATAAAATTTAGAACCGTTGATGCTGCCCGTCGCCCGATCTGGAATATGCATGTCGTCGATGCTGCTCGCCCCTTGATTAAACATACACCTTGCAATTTCCTTGGTAACTCAATAATTTCATCAAGGATGGAGAATTTGATCTCAAAAGATTCGAATCGTGCGCCCATGAAACTGCGATCTGATGCGACTTTAGATCTTCTGGTTCGTTTTCGCTGCCGGTGGTGTTTCGCCTCCACTAAAGTCAGTCGGCCCTAAACTACAGAGGATTAAACGTTGCATAGTCTTTTGAATCTTCTTTTTTTTTTTTTTTTTTCGCGTAAATCTTTTCAATTTTTATCAATTTGAAGCGAAATTTAATTTTGTGGGATTTGAAGTTTTGAACGCCTAATGTAGAATTAATATTAGCTAATTTAGGACAAAAACTTAGGGATATTGTTGCAGCCTTAGTTTAGGCGTAGAAGCAACGCAGCAGAGAAGGTCCTTTGAGCGGGAAAATATCTCATGAGAAACTGTCACGTGACTTAAGTAACAGCTGTTTTCAAGAGGTAATGATCAACAAATTAAGTCCGTAATATGTACCACTACATAACTTTTAGCCCATTAATTGAGATACTCCAATCGTTGAATATCTAAAAATCATGTGGTGTAAAGGTTCATCTGCTCAATAATCCTTAATATGAATTAGAGAAGTTATTGATATCTGGAAAGAAAAAATAAAAAATACCAATAGAATTCCTTGAAAATTAATGGTATTTGCCAATTATGTAATACAAATTACAATGACATGGAGTACTAATAATTAAGCAAACAAAAATAATTTGTGTATTATGTAGTAGCAATCTTGCCAATTATGTAGTAGGTTTAATACAAAATAACAAGGGAAGGAATATGAGGAAATAAATAAAAAAATAATAGGCTTTCTGTTTCTAGGTTATTTTGTCCATTTGAATTTCTTTGGGTCATATAAATTACTCTCTCTGTCCCAAAATTATTATTCAGTTTGAGATTTCACTTTTAGTACAATTTGAACTAGAAATGAAAATCCAAACTGTACAATAATTATGGGACGGAAGGAATATGATTTTTTTTTTTGGCTCACTGGATCATTGGAATTCATCAACAATGCGATCATATGGAAATAGGAGTTGACGAGGTCCGAGAATGTGAGTATTTTTTTTTTAATTATTCAGATAGCTAAAGGGATTGAAATGATTAGTTCCATTGATCTTGGTCCACGTTTACAGTTTACTCGCATATTCATGTACAAATTGCAGATTAGTTGACCCCAACAAACCTTCCCTTAAAACTTTTATAATACATGGTGTTGCATGTTTACAAACCCTGCATCAGGATGAAAGTCAATTAATGGAATTCTTTGAAGGATACATATATTCTCTCATTTGTTTGTACAGAAATAAGATAATCTTAAAGTGAACAAATATACTAATACTTAGACTGATCTCGAGCATATAAATTTTCTAATCTGGAATCCATGTAATAAAGCAAATAAATACACAAAATAAAATAAAATAAAATAAAAATACAAAGGGTACGTTAACACAAACACATATACATACACTAGTCACGTAAAATGCCGCCGGTCAATTGCCTCTCTTTTCTTTTCTTTTATATCAAATTTATTCCGTCTCTAATTTGATAATCAACGAATAATCATTAGGTGAGTAGAAAAAATCATCTAAAATTCATGTCAAATATTCTTACAATTATTAGATGAGGGCAAGTATACCTTTTGATTGATAATAAAACGAACATTTTAATTAATTTGTCAATATATATATATATATTAAACTCGGTATATATAAATCTATTGACTTAGTATGAGTTTGATTTTATTAATGCATTTGAAAAGAACTCCTAGAAAGTTTAAGTTTTAGTTATTGCTTTGTATTTTTTTTTCTTAAATAAAGCCTAAATTCAAAACAATACTCCGATTAAATTATATTCCAGCTATGGTAGAACATCCGATGGTGTGGCTTGTAACCATTGCTCGGTACTTTTTGTGTCATATTTGTCGTTTGCAGTCTTACCTGCAGTTAATTAATGTAAATTTGTCATACTATTTATCTTTTTGTGTCATTTCTAGAGAATCTGACACTTTTTTCCCATCATTTCACGACATTGTGAAGTTACGAACAACAATTTGAGTCCTTTAATGATTAGAGTTCAAAACTTTTTGTTCTTCCACTCAAGACATTTTCAAGGTGCAAAATACTAAAAGGCACATATTTTTTGCCGATACATCTTGATGTGGTTTATTACAAACAAATCGTAATACACATGCTGATTTTGATTTTCAAAATACACACACTTAAACCAAATGCAGTACATGTTAACAAATTCTAAAGGGAAGAGCGCATGTAATGAGTCATTTTGGCCATCTTAGCTCTCACCTCAATCCAAGAAATAATTATCTCAAAAACTAGTTCTATAGTTTCATTCGGTTCCCCAACCAATCGATGCCACATCCCTGGAAAAATCTTCAAGGACTTATCCTGACTGGCAGCTGATTCAAGAAGAAACTTAGCTGATTGAGGATCACAGATCTTGTCATCTCCACCATGCAAAATCAGCAAAGGCAGCTCTAATTCCCGGCATCTTGTTTGAATGTAAGCCATTCCTTGCAGGGTTTGTTGAGTAGTAATTGCTGGAAGTGGAATCATCGCACTCGTAGGCGGATTCGGGCTCTTCATCGCCAACTTTTTCTTCCATTCCTCTTTGACCGCTTCGGTTGCCAGAAGTTTTGTGCTGTTTATCCTCTTTGATGGTGCAAAAAAAGCTGTCAAAGGCAAGAGCTTGTCCATTGGCCATAACGGCATCATATTTTCAGAAACACCACAAAGTGAACCGCATAAAATGAGTCCATCCCACTCATTTTTTTGCCTTAAGCAAATGATGATGGAAAGACCTCCTCCCATTGATTCACCATATAGAAAGGCTGGAAGTTTCGGGTGCTCTTTTCGAACAGAATCGAAGTATTGGGTCGAATCGGAAACCAAAACCTCGAAATCTGAAATGATTCCGGGTGAGCCGTCTGAGTAGCCATGGCCTTGAAGATCAAGGGCACAAACAAAGTAGCCAGCTTTAGCTATGGCTACCGCGTTTAGCTCAAAAAGCCAGCTGCTTTCTGAGCAATATGGATGTATCATGGCCACAAGCCCTTTCGGTACTTTTGAAGTTGAATCTGCAGGCTGCCATGATTGGGTAAAAATCTTCATGTTATTGTTGTTGATCATGAAGCTTTCTTTGTGAAGTATCTGATGCTTCTTGTGGAATTCTTCTCTTCTGAGATCTCCATATGGGCTGTTCTTGTTTGCTTCATGAATTGGATGGAAAAAAGCCATTTCTATGTATTTGGCTTGCTTATGGGCGCTGAAGAGCGAGCTAGATTGTTGAGCATTTCGATAGTCGACAAAGTTTATATAGAAGGCGCAGCTGGACCCTAAAACATAAGTTAGTACAATTAAAAAAAAGCCCTTACCCTCTCTCACACAATACTAATTTTGTTTGTAAATATAATAGTGAAAATGACTCTTATTATAGGATAAAAAAGAGGTATCTTTTCTTTTCTTTTTTTTTTTTTTTTTGAGGTATCTGATTCTCTTGGATATACAAGTTTATAATGAAAAGAAACATTTACTAAGTTTTCTACCCAAAAAAAATAAAAAAAATAAAAAAATTCTAGAATGAATGTACATTTTCATGTATATATTTGTGTTGGCTTTACTTTTGAGTAAAGCATGATTAGTGAAACTATAGTTTCCAATATTTCCATGGAGCGTATTAATATGGAGAAAAACTAAATGCATGTTTTGGTTAAATGAAGAATGATGATATGTGTGTATATTATATATATATATATATGTATATGTATCATAGTTAGACTGATGCCTATTGATATTTTCACGAGAACAAAACTCCACCACGGTTAATTATTAAATAAGAAGGAATACTTTTGGTATTTGGAGTAGACTCTATTTAATTTATTATGCACATTCCATTTAAACGGCTCACTTGATTATCAGAGAGCAATCAAATGTAGAAACGAATGAAGTGATTATAGTTTACTTCAGCTTGAAGTTGACTGCTTTAGCTGAATTGGTCCCAAGCACATTCACAGAGAGAGTATATATAAAAAGTCAAATGTCATTTTCAATATTCCATGCTGAACTGTCACATCATGCACGTACTGCAGAATAATGGACTTCCTCAAACTCCTCTTGAGAAGTACCGAGTCTTAATTATATTTCTGAAGGATAAATATATACGATCAGAAGTATTCTGAAGAGGCTGAAGATGTGACCTTAAAACTTGAGAATATGCCATCATAAGTAGTTTGTGCCCTTGAGCAGTAAGATGAATGGAATTGAAACAGTGATTGAAAAATGGAACCGCGATACTATTATGAACGGAATCGGACAGATGCTGTGTTAGGTGGAATTGTTGATGAGATCATGAAGGATGCACAGTCATAATGATTCCATTCAACAGAGGAGAATCACTATGCACCCCAAGTTATGCTTATAACGCTTCTTAAAGAGACTTAGACTCCTGACTTCAGCTCTACTATGTACTAAAAGATTTCAATGAACGATGAAGGTCTAGACCCTTGAAAACTGGTTTAGAAAGGTCATTTTCAAACTCAGGAATCCTAACGTATATGCTTTGCTATATGAAGAGTGAATGCAAAGAAAGTCTCGTTCGAAAAGAGTGATTAATCACTCCAAGTTGAGAATGATTATAATGGCAACTCCAAGTTGTTTTCTTCTTCATCTGACCTGACGAGTCCAAATAGTACGGCCCGCAACTAGGCCGTCCCAAGTTCGCTGAAAGGTCTAATCGATCTCTGGAATCTTCTAGATTGGTTCTTAATTACTTTCCAACTAAAAAAGATTTCATAACCTAATTTTATAAATAAGGATCAACCTCTCACATCAAAGGTACGCTCTACGCACCACAATTCATACCTTATTATAATTACTCTTACTGACTTAAGTATCGGAGTATCTACTCTCGAAAGACCCCAAGGTCTTCTTTTATAAGTTTTAGGATTTTGATTTCTCCATGACAGCCGAAGCAACTAACCGAAGACGTTAGTGCAGATCTATACTTCGTCATGAACTTTCAACAATAAAACCCACTACTGGTCAGTGGAAATTAATGTCCTCTTCAAACTGAATGCTATCATGCGAACCAAACAAATTTTCAACAATTAGGAATTGGACACACACGCGCGCGCACACACACAAAATTAGGAGATGAATGATAATGGTAATTTGAAGTTGCTTGTTCATCTAAATTTTCAACTATAAACCCACTCGAAATATCCTCTGCAAATTGAATGCTCGCATGCGAACCAACGAATTTTCAACAATTAGGAATTGGAAATATTTTCTGAATGGTTGATGTTATTCCACACCCCATTTACTTCATATCCATGTCCATTCTGCACATTTCCACCGAAATTTGATGAAACCTTGTCAAACCATTTAACTGCTGCTTTTTCTTCATGTGCAGTCCCACTCGAGTCTTTTCCAAATCTCTTGATTTTACAAGTAGCTTCTGTTAAATGAATGAAACAAAGAAAATGACTTTATATTCCCTTGTCCCACATAGATGGAAGGAAACAATTAAGCTCAACTTATATATCCTATGTGTTACTCCACTCATCACCAATTGTATTTGAAGTACAATCATATGTGGGCTTATATTTGGACCTTCAAGATAATATTAGAGCGGGTTTTATCCGCGGATCTATGGGACTAGTGGGGCAAGGTGGACTAACCTAGATTGGGTCTTGAAACTTTGACCAACCCACGGAAGAAATTCGGGGTTTGACTTTGAACTTTGACTGGCCCGGCAGACGACGGTTTATCCGAAAAAATAACCGATCGCAAGACTGAAAAAAGAAATACAAAAAAATAATAAAATTATCTGTCCAAGTCCATTGGGCTTGAGAGGGGCGTGTTAAACGAATGAAAGATAGAAAATGACCTCATGTTCCCTTGTCCCACATGAATAGAAGGAAACACTTGAATCCAACATATATACTCCATGTGTTACTCCCCGCATCACCAATTGGTTTTGAGATGGAACCACATGTGAGCCTATATTGAGGTATTCAATAGCTTCAAACAAGATTCATCTTACTAAATTACTTAATTAATCATCCTTCCAAATTTCTCCATAAGCCATTTTCACATATATATTCTACACAGACATCTAGATTCAAGAAAAATGTAATATCAAATTAGGTGAAACCACACGTGGACCTATATTGAGGCCTTCAAGAGCTTCAAACAAGATTCATCTTACTAAATTACTTAATTGATCATGCTTCAAATTTCTCCAGAAGCCATTTTCACATATATATTCTACACAGACATCTAGATTCAAGAAAAATGTAATATCAAAATATTCTGCTCGAATGTCTAATGAAATTGTTATCTTTAACTTTTCATTTCATGAAATACGTAACTAAATACATGTGTAAATTTCAAAGGGAAGAGCGCATGATCGTGGAATTCATTTTCACCATCTTAGCTCTCAACTCAATCCAACAAACAATCATCTCAAAAACTAATTCTACACTTTCATTTGGTTCCCCGAACAATCGATGCCACATCCCTGGAAAAATCTTCAAGGACTTATCCTGACTGGCAGCCGAATCATGTAAAAATTTAGCGAATTGAGGATCACATACCCTATCATCTCCACCATGCAAAACCAGCAAAGGCAGATCTAACTCGCGGCATCTTTCCTGGACATAAACACAGACTTTTATGTACTCCCGTGCTGTTATCGCCTGTAACGGGAGCATCGCCTTTGTCGGGGGATTCGGGCTCTTGCCCGCCAACTTTTTCTTCCAGACCTCTTTGATTGATTGCGTTGCTAGTGGGTTTGTGCTGTTTATCCTCCGTAACGGTGCAATAGAAGCAACCACAGGAATGACTACTTTCTCCATTGGCCATAATGGCATCAGATTTCTGGAAACACCACAAAGTGGACCACATAAAATGAGTCCATTCCATGCATTTTTTTGTCTTAAGCAAATGATGATGGAAAAAGCTCCTCCCATTGATTCACCGTATAGAAATGCTGGCAGTCTCGGGTGCTCTTTCCGAACAGAATCGAAGTATTGGATTGAATCAGAAACCAAATACTCGAAATCTGAAATGATCCCAGGTGAGCCTTCCGAGTAACCATGGCCTTGAAGATCAAGAGCACAAACAAAGTAGCCAGCTTTTGCTATGGCCACCGCGTTCAGCTCAAACAGCCAGCTGCTTTCTGAGCAATAACCATGGATCATTGCCACAAGCCCTTTCAGTACTTTTGAAGTTGAATCTGCAGGCTGCCATGATTGGGTAAAAATCTTCATGTTTTGTTTGTTCAACATGTAGCTTTCTTTGTGTAGTATTTGATGGTTCTTGTGGAATTCTTCTCTTGCAAGATCTCCATATGGGCTGATCTTATTTGCTTCGTGAATTGGGTGGGAAGACATTTCGAAATATATACTTAGGGACGGGATGTTTTAGTGGATGCCAAAGTTCAAGCTGTCTTGTACTTTATAGTTGGCCAGACTTTAATTTGGGAAGTGGCCCTCGTCATTCCAGCCTAATAGAATAATACTTTCTCTATCCAAAATGATATATATAAATTTCAATTTTTGTATAAATTAAACTGAAAATAAAAATCAAAATAAACAATTATTTTTTTTGGTTAAACTTGTGCCACAACTTTAGCCCTGCTCTCTGTCTCTGTGGGCGATTACACCTCGAGTGTGTGTAACCGCCAACCACTTCTCCGACGTGATCTCACGTCTGCGATGGCAAGGAAGACGAAGAATCAGAGGGAAGCAGCTACAAGCAACACCGCTAAGCAACCAGATGAGGAAAAACGGCATCCAATGGGCGAATTTACACTGAATTGTGACAGTTTGAAAGAGGTACCTAAACCTAACTATGCAATTAATTTGTCTGAATCGCCATTAATGCTGAAGAGCTTAGGTAATAATCGCATAATTGCTATGGGGGAAGGTTCGGGAGTAAAGAAAAGGAATAATAACACTGAATCTGATAAGGAAACAGAATCTGCTGATCCAAATGTATGGAATTCGTTCGATCCCAAATCACTGCAACAGAATGATAAGAAGCTGAGGTATATTGAGCCTAGGAAGATGAATGATCGTGCTATTAGCAAAATTACACAGGAGGAAGTGCAAACAGAGGTTGATTATTGGAAAACTTCAGTATTGTGCTATGTGCTTGGAGCAAATCCTCCGTTTCCAGTAGTGAATGGATATATCAGAAGGAATTGGGGACGATTGGGAGTGGACAAAGTTCTGCTACTGGAAAATGGTATTTTTGTGGTTAGATTCAAGACATTAGCAGCAAAAGAGGAAGTGCTGAAATTCAATCTGTATTACTTTGACAATAGGCCTTTCATTGTAAAGGATTGGTCAGTTGAGGAAGAGATTAATATGGATAAAATCTTAAAGGTACCAGTGTGGATTCAACTGCCAAAGTTGCCACTGAGATACTGGAATCCCACCTCACTCAGCAGAATTGCTAGTTCTGTTGGCAATTCAATTAAGATGGATGATATGACCTCTCAAAAAACTGAGACCAGGTTATGCTCGTGTGCTGGTAGAGGTTGAAATAAAGGAGAAATTGGAAGATGTGGTATGGTTTGAAAATGAAAAAGGGGAATTGCAGGAACAGGAGATCATATTTGAATGGAAGCCATTAAAATGTCAAAATTGCAAAGGATATGGTCATGAAACTGGAAAATGCAGAGTTCCATTCAAGAAGGTCTGGCAACAAAGACTGCCAGAACAAGTGGAAGAGATGCAACCATTGAAGGATAAGCAGCTAGAGAAAGAGGGAGAAGGAAAACAGAACCAACAAAATAGGCCTATGACAGTGACTACAACTAAAAGGCAGGAAGCAAATAGTAAGAATTGTATAAGAACATCTCTGAAAAGTAACAAGCAGGAAGTCCACAATAGCCCTGGTTCCAGTCAAGGAATAATGGAAGATGGAGTACAAATTCTGAATCAGAAATGTATCAGGATCTCTGAAGGAAGGTAAAATGGCAAATTGAAATCAGTGAACTCTATATGTTATAATGATACTAGTCACCCTGATTCAGGGCCTAGAAATCATGAATAACATAAGTTCATGGAATGTAAGGGGACTTAACAGTCCCCTGAAACATAAGGAAATCACTAATTTCCTCTATGTGAATAAAGTTGGGATAGCAGGATTGATTGAGACCAAGCTAAATGGGGAAAATGTTGAGCAGTTAATGACAAGGAAATGGATCAATTTTGATTATATCAGCAATCATCAGAATCAAGAAAAAGGCAGGATACTGTTGGTATGGAAGAAAGGAGAATATGTAGTAGCAGTGAAAGTAACACAAAACAATACATACACTGTTTGGTGCAAGAGCAAAGAAAGGAGTATTATTTGAAAATGGTGTATGCTGATCATACTGTTCAGGGTAGGAATCAACTTTGGCAGGAGCTGGTGGACTTAGCCAAAGGAATACATCAGCCTTGGATAATGATGGGTAATTATAATTGCCTTCTGAGTAATGAAGAAAAACTGGGAGGAAGGAATGAAATCAGTCCTGATTCAGAGAAATTTAAGGCAATGATTGAGACATGTGAATTATGGCAAATGCAAACATATGGTGGGGAATTTACTTGGAGCAATAAAAAATTAGGAGATCAAAGAATATGGGCCAAACTGGATAGAGTTCTTGTTAATGATGAATGGTTGACAAACTTACCTCAAAGTTATGTCAACATTCTACCAGCAGGAATTTCTAACCATTCAGCTTTAATGATGAAATGGGGAGAAGAGAAAGTGGAAAATAGGAGATCATTCAAATTCTTAAATATGTGGATAGAACATAAAGATTTTGAAGCTGTGATAAAAGAAGGATGGAACAAGGAAATACAAGGAAGTAAGCAGTTTTGTCTGATACAAGAACAAAAGCTGTTGAAACCTTTGCTGAAAAAGTTCAACAAACAACACTTTGCTGATATAGAGATGAAAGAAAAGGAGTGGAAAATGAAGCTTGAAGATGTGCAGGAAAGATTAATGAGCAATCCAAGGGATGAGCTTATTCAGGAGGAGGAGAAAATAGTAACCAAAACATACTGTGAATATAGCAAGGCAGTCATCAGTTTTTGGAATCAAAAACTAAAAGATAGGTGGATTCAGGAGGGAGATTTGAACACCAGATTCTTTCATGCTAGTATTCAGCAGAAGACTATCAGGAATAAAATCAGATCATTTGTGAATGATCAAGGGGAGCTGATAGAAGAATGGCCTGAAGTAGAACATCATTTCTTGCAGTATTATCAGCAGCTGTTAGGAACAAGCTGGAAGAGAACAAAAGCAAAGATTGAAGTTTTCAGAACAGGGACTACACTGTCAATAGATCAGCAGATTCTCATGACTGCAAACTTTACTCCAGCAGATGTTTAACAAGCCATGTTTGAGATTGATATCAATAAAAGTGCTGGTCCATATGGCTTTGGTAGTGGTTTTTACAGGAAAATGTGGCCAATAGTTGGAAAAGCAGTGACCGATGCATTATTGGAATTCTTCAGTGAGGGGAAACTGCTCAAGCAATTGAATGCTACACTCATCTCTCTTATACCAAAAACAGCAGTGCCAAGCAATGCAGCAGAATTCATGCCAATATCCTGCTGCAATACAGTATACAAGTGCATCTCCAAGATGAGTGCAAGAGAATCAGCATAATCTTACCTGAATTGGTGGACCTCAATCAAGGTGCGTTTATCAAGCAGAGATTAATCTTTCATAATATCATGTTAACCCAGGAACTGATCAGGATGTACAGGAGAAAAAATGCTAAACCAAGTTGTGTCATGAAAGTGGATTTAAAGAAGGCATTTGATTCAGTTCATTGGGATTTTATTGGAGAGATGTTAACAGAATATGGGTTCCCAAAAAGAGTGATCAACTAGATTATGGAATGTGTAACCACTAGTTCATATTCCCTGAACTTGAATGGTAGTATTACAGGTCACTTTGAGGGGAGAAGAGGACTGAGGCAGGGAGATCCTTTGTCTCCATTACTATTTGTCATGGTAATGGAATATCTTACTAGATTACTGAAAATGGGAGCAGGAAAGGAAGAATTTCAGTATCATCCCTACTGTGAAACCTTGAAGATCATTTCTCTTAGCTTTGCAGATGACCTACTCATATTCTGTGGAGCTGAAGTAGAAACAGTAAGGAAAATTAAAGCATTGTTGAATCAATTTGAGGAGACAACAGGACTGTCTATCAATATCAGCAAATCTAGTCTTTACTTTGGAGGACAAACATAAGAGGTGGAAGCAGAAATCCAGTAGATTATGGGATTTACAGTAGGCCAGTTCCCTATGAAATACTTAGGGTTGCCTATATCTCCTACATCATGGACAAAAGCTGAATGTCAAATCTTGATTGAAAAGATTACTGCCATGATAAACAGCTGGATTTCAAGACACTTGTCATACGCAGGGAGAGCTTTATTGGTTAACACAGTTCTGCTGAGCATCAACTCTTACCGGGCTAGTATTTTCTTGATTCCACAAAGTGTGATGCAGCAGGTTATAAGTAAATGCAGGAAGTACTTGTGGGGAACAAAGAACACTGGGAAAAGCTGGTCATCGGTGGCTTGGGATGATCTCTGCTGCAAGAAAAAGGAAGATGGATTAAACATGAAAGAGCCCAGGATCTGGAATATGGCACTAATGGGCAAAAGGTTATGGGATATAGCAAAGAATAAAGACAGCATGTGGGTAAAATGGGTGCATCACTACTATCTTAAAGGAAAGGACCTCTGACAGTATAAACCCCCTCACGATAGTAGTTGGCATATGAAGAAACTGATGAAGATCAAAGAATTGTTGAAAGCAGGAATACAAAGAGGGCAATGGACAGCTACAACAACTAAACTATATACTGCTGGGAGTGGATATAACCTGTTAAGAGGGGAAAGAAGAAGGTTTGCACCAGCAAGGATCATATGGAGCAACCTGAGTCTCCCTAAGCACAGCTATATTAGTTGGTTGGCTTGGAAGAACAGACTACTGACAGCATAAAGGTTGATGGACCTGCAGTTGGTAGTAAGTGATAATATGTGTGGTTTATGTCAGAAGGCAGTTGACAGTGTTGAACATCTCTATTTCAGATGTGACTATGCACAGGAACTAATGGCAGAACTCAAAAGATGGCTGGACATCAGAACTGTTATCCAAGGACTGAATGCTCAAAGCTTGCTACAAATCTGGAAAGGAAGGAAGCTAAGATAGAGAATTCTGTTTGCATGTCTAAATGCTGCAATCTATGGCATCTGGACAGAGAGAAATGGAAGAAGGAATGGACAGAAAGCAATGGCAGCAAAGGAAAGAGCTGACAGAATCAAGCATGAGATCAGACAGAAAGTACAATCTCAATGCATGAATATTAGTGT